CTTGTTTTTCTTAAGGCATGAAACTATACTTTTCAAATTAAAAACTAGTATTACAGGCCAGGTAGGTATGATGGCTCACACCTGTAATCCCAGTACTTTCAGAAGCTAGGGCAGGTAAATCTCTTGACCCCAGGAATTTGAGGCTGCAGTGAGTTTTACTGCACCACCGCACACCAGCCTTGGCAACACAAGACCCCGCGTCAAAAAAAAAAAAAAAAAAGGTGCTATATTATATACGTTGTATTTATGACTTTCTTTTATTTAACAACATATTTTAAAAGTGTTCCCATGTCCAAATCTCATGCTTTTCCCTTATCCTGCCTGGATTTTTCTGACTTGTAACTAGAAATGCAGCCTCCTCAATCAGTTTCTTACTGAGTACCCAGAACTGTGCCAGATTCTGAAAATAGTTCAAAACAAACAAGATCTGTATTGTGCCTAAACAATTATAACACTGCTCAGGAAATGACCCCTGATAGTGGGTTATTCAGTTAAGAACACACATTTTTAAAAATATGTTGTGGGCTGTGTCAGGCTGCAGGAGAAGATGGCGGTCTCCACAGGAGTTAAAGTTCCTTGTAATTTTTGCTTGTTGGAAGAACTTGAAGGACAAAAAGGAGTAGGCGATGGTACGGTTAGCCTGGGGCCTTGAAGATGATGAAGATATGACACTTACAAGGTGGACAGGCATGATTATTGAGCCACCAAGGACAAATTATGAAAACAGAATATATAACCTGAAAGTAGAATGTGGACCTAATACCCCGAAGCTCCTCCATCAGTTAGATTTGTAACAAAAATTAATATGAATGGAGTAAATAATTCCAGTGGGATGGTGGATGCCGGGAGCATACCAGTGTTAGCAAAATGGCAAAATTCATATAGCATTAAAGTTGCACTTCAAGAGCTAAGACGTCTAATAATGTCCAAAGAAAATATGAAGCTTCCACAGCCACCAGGACAAACATACAACAATTAATTTTAGTGGATCTCGAATTTGTCTTAAATCAACAACCTTCTACTCACGTTAATGTCTTGATTAAATATCACAATGCGAAATATCCACACATTAAGTAAAAGAATTCCAGCTGGTAAACATGACCTGGACATTTTAAGAATATATTTAATATATGTACACCCATTATGCTTTCAGGTAACAGGAGGAAACATGCAGCACAATTTTTTTTCTCTTGTTAAGACACTGTCATTTAAACATAAACCTGGAGTACTCGAAATACAATTCAGGTTTACAAGATGAAAGCGTGTGGAGAAGTGTCAGATGGCAGTGGAAGCATGTCTGTTTCTAAAAAGTAAAAATCTCAAGAAAGAAAACAGAAATGGCGTGCTTTATCCGTCTTGCTTAGTGAAAGAGCTGCAGTTGAAATTGTTTAAGACGTAGCAGGTACAATGAATATTGTCACAAATGTGTTAATTTTTGAAGCGGTGTGGGTGCTGACTACTAGTAGTATCAAAAATATGTTCAGGATTGTTTTGATACCTGTATTTATAATAAAAATATGTTGTTCCTAAATTTCATTGTTTTATTATATATATCCAGATTATTCTTTGTTATCTGTTAAGTCTTACATCTTTTTTTTTTTTTGAGACGGAGTCTCACTCTGTTGCCCAGGCTAAAGTGTAATGGCGCAATCTCAGCTCACTGTAATCTCTACTCCCAAGTTCAAGCGATTCTCATGCCTTGGCCTCCTGAGTAGCTAAGATTACAGACATTTACCACCACACTCAGCTAATTTTTGTATTTTTAGTAAAGATGGGGTTTCACCATGTTGCCCAGTCTAGTATTAAACTCCTCACTTCAGGTAATCCACCCACCTCGGCCTCCCAAAGTGCTGGGATTATAGGTGTAAGCCACCTCACCTGGCACAAGTATTTTTTTTTTAAAATCAGTCAGGTGTGGTGATGCATGCCTGTAGTCTCAACTCCTTGGGGGTTGAGGCAGAATTACCTGAACTCAGGAGTTCGAGGCTGCAGTGAGCTGTGATTGCCCACTGAACTCTAGCCTGGATGACAGAGCAAGACCCTATTTGTTTTGTTTTGTTTTTTTTTAAAAAAAAAAAAAAAGCAATCAAGTTTCTCCTGTATGTCTTCTGAAGCTCTACCTCATTTTGTAAATGTTGATAAAAATTATAATTTTATAATCTACATATATATAATTTCATCCAAAATTATTTATATCAAATGCCATTGCCCCATGTTCTTAATTTTTGAAAATATTATTTTTAATGAGTACTTTCATGGCATAGATTTTTCTGGTGTTAAATTTCCCAAATTTTAGCTGGTCATGGTCGCATGCGTCTGCAGTCCCAGCTACTTTAGAGGCTCAAGTGGGAGAATCACTTCAGACAAGAGTTCGAGATCAGCCTGGACAAGGTAATGAGACCTGAAAAAAAAAAAAAAAAAAAAAAAAAACACTAAAGTTTTTAAAAATCAAATGTATTTTGAAGGATTTACTTATCCATTGACACTGTCCACAACTTTGACAGCATTAAACATCTTTCTTATGTGTTCTTATAGGGGTAGCCTGGCTAAATAACTGTTCATCTCTTCCTCCGGGGAGCCTAACCCCAACCCCAGGCTCTGTGCAGTGTGACTGGCAACGTGTGCGTGTACACCCTGCCTTTCTTAGACTGCACTGCAACTGCCTATCCACTTGTCTGTTTCCCCAATTTGACTGTAAATTTCTAGAGGACAGAGACTGAAACTGTTACACAATACTTGACATACAGTAGACTTTCCATTTTTGTATTATGAATAAATTAATAGATAACAGTATTTTATAAAACACTGCTGACAAAAGAAAAAATTATCTTCAGAATTTGTTTCATAAGCCTGTACTTTCCTAGGTTGAGTATTAGACCATTATTAAGGAGTCACAACTAAAAATTAAACATATTTTAACCAATTTTCCTGGTTACTGATACTTAACAGGGTACTAACTATTAAGATGAGATTTTGCCACTCAACTAGTGAAACCATAGCATCTGTAAGTCAGTCAACATAAACAAAGAGTCACAGTCAGATTGCTGTATTTTTTTGACAAACGTAGAATTGACATTGTATATTTGAAATGATCAAAGTTTGCATTCATTTTACCTTGCAGGAAAGCTCTGTAGCTGATTGTTTGCAAGGTGCAAGATTCGCAGGTGCGGGTGCCCCACCAGGACAGGTATGCACTGATCTGTCAGGAGATTGTTGGTCAGATAAAGCAGCTGCAGCATACTCAAACTTTTCTCCCCAGTGCAGGCGGACGGTAAAGACTCCAGACTATTTGCAGATGCATTCAAGTATCTGAGACTGACAGAACACACACAGATCATCACTTCCTTTATTTGTTGCCTCTCTGTATAGATACCATCATGTGACCTCAGTATGGAATGCTGCCATTCCAAGCTCCCAAATGAAAATAACAAAAAAATTCTCCAGGAAGTTTTTCCATAATTGATCCTATCCAACCAACCCAAAGTTCCTTTTACTCAACTCATGGAAACCAAACAGAGAGGAAAAAGTACAAGCCTGATTGTTTTCCCAGGCTTCTGGAGTGCCTGATTCTAACCTAACTTCATCTTTTACTATCAAACTGCCTACTGAAAAGATATTGCTGAATATCATGTTCAAATATATCTGAACTATGAAGACAACATTTAGAAAAACTTTTGTCTGGTTTCAACAGCATCATTATGTATTTAGCCAATTCCACAATCCCCTAATAAAAAACACATAGGCCGTTTCCATTTCTATACAAATGCTACTATAGACACTGTAATGAGCACCTTTGTATCCTTAACCAATTATTTCCTTAGCGTATGATCCTAAAAACAGATTTTGTGTGATCAAAGGATTATATATTTTTTAGAGACTTAATATATTGCCAAACTGACCTCCTGAAAGACTATATGAAATTATACTTCCAGCCAGGGGTAGTAGCTCACACCTGTAATCTCAGCACTTTGGGAGGCCTAGGTGGGTACACCATGAGGTCAGGAGATGGAGGCTATCCTGGCTAACACAGTGAAATCCTGTCTCTACTAAAACTACAAAAATTAGTTGGGTGTGCAGCATGTGCCTGTAAACCCAGCTACTTGGGAGACTGAGGCAGGAGAATCGCTTGAACCTGGGAGGCAGAGGTTGCAGTGAGCTGAGATCATGCCACTGCACTATAGCTTGGCGACAGAGCTAGACTCCATCTCAAAAAAAAAAAAAACAGAAATTATACAAGAAGGCTAAGAATGCCAGTTCGTCACACCTTTGTCAACACTGAGTATTACAAATCCATTCTAATCTTTGCCAAGCTAACAGATAAAACATGGTATAATTTAAAATTTTGCCAAACACAGTGTTTGGTGTATACAGAACATGCTCAATAAAAGGCAACTATTATTATTAAACTTGTGTGTTCTCAGGTCTTCTTCATGTTGTATGATCCATAATCCCTAATTCATTTTTAAATTGATATGTAAGTTTTACATAACTAGCTTTTAAGCTAATGGTGGGTACTGTGTGTCTGCTTGTGCTATTGTCTCAACAAAGCTCTGTCCAGAGTTAATATTAAATAAATACCACTGACAGTTTGCTACAGTTAAGTTACTCACTACAGATTTTAAGGTTGTAAACTAATTTTATTCAGACTATCGTGAGGACCAAATGCAGTGCTATGCATTGCTAACAAATACTTGTAAACTAACAACTGCATCAAGGCTCCATATAAACATTATATAAAGAAAATTTCCTTTAAATGCTTTTTAGAATTTCCAAAGACTTTACTTTGAGGAATATCCAACCAAGTGTATTATACGTTAAGAAATGTATAAGCTGCTAAAGAAAGAACAAGCCAGACAACTGTGGGCTAAGTGGTTTTTTATGTCTCCTCTTAATTTACTACTGCTCATACTACTACCCATCTCTGTTTTGTCCATTTCTAAAGTGAAGACAATATTGCCTTCTCCATGTTGTAGAAAAATATAATTAAAAACTAGTTTTCAATGCTCGCTTTGGCAGCACATATACTAAAATTGGAATGATACAGAGAAAATTAGCATGGACACTGAGCAACGATGACAGGCAAATGTGTGAAGCATTCCATATTAAAAAAAAAAAAAACAATACTAGTTTTCAGGCTGGGTGCAGTGGCTCATGCCTGTTAATCCCAACATTTTGAGAGGCCAAGGCAGGTAGATCATTTGAGTCCAGGACTTTGAGACCAGCCTAGGCAAAATGGTGAAACCCTGTCTCCACAAAAAAATAAAATTAGCCGGGCATGGTGGTGCACACCTATGGTCACAACTACTTAGGAGGCTGGGGAGGAAGGATCACTTGGACCCAGGAGGTCAAGGCTGCAGTGAGCTATGATTGCACCACTGCATTTCTGCCTGCATGACAGAGTGAAACCATGTCTCTTAAAAAAAAAAAAAAAAATCTATACAACCACAAACTAGTTTTCATTTAAAGGTGAAAAACACATTAGGTAAACCTGATTACACGCCTAAAATAGGAAGGCCATGTCATCTATTTGTTAATTTATAGTTAGAAGGCAAATGACACCTTTTGGAAGGATATTACCTGTAAATACAGTTTTCAAAGTACCCAAAATGCTTTGTACATAAAGATTGTAATTCAGAGGCAGTTTGGTAAAGCTAGGAGCAAAAACCAAATTAACTTTAGTGGTATGTCCTTTTGTCTCCAATGCAAAAGCTCAAAATTGCGCAAAGAAGCTACAGCGGAATGTGATAATTTCTCTTTAAATGTCATAACTATATTCATTTTCAGAGATGAAAGCCTGAATCTTCTCGACCTGTCTGAAATTGAAACCTCTTTAAGTATTTGACAGTTATTTCAACTTTGATGTACCACTTCATAAAACAGTGTCATATATTCCTTCATAAAAATTGCAAATAAGTCTCCACCCATAGTTGGACTATCAGGTAAGCTCTCTAAAAATATAGTTCCAAAGGTCACTCCAATGATAAGTCACTGCAGTCTGTTTAGCCAATGATTCTGCTCTTCTGAAAAATATCCTATGGTACTCACTTTAAGGCCTTGGAGAAGAGAGTGTCTGGCAGCCTGCTGAGTGCATTATGCTGAAGATCCAACACCTCGAGGGGGGTATGCTCCACCAGTGTTGGGAGGTTTTCTAAGTGATTGTGTCCCACCATCAGTTTTCTAAGACTCAAGCTACTCAGAATTCTAAGGGGAAAACATAAGAACAAAAAAATTAAAAATTTAGTGAAATCATTCTTTCTGAGGCTATCCTAGTCTATTTAACTAAGTTATAGAAACATATTCTTCTAGATTGTATACTCACTGACAAGTGCCTCAGCCAAGAAAGCAGCTATGACTGTATGTTTACCTACCACCCACAAGGAAGTCATTAAGGTCAGTCTGAGAAAAGGTGAATTAATGAAGGTAAACAGCACAGAGTAGATCTAAACTAAAAAGGCAATTTCTAGAATAAATCAGTTTAGATTTTAAGTCTAAAAACAGCACCAAAAATTCAGTATATTAACACATCTTGTAAATAAATTCACAACATTTCATTACAATAAAAACTATTTATTTTAGTGCTCAAAATGTGCTAAGCCACTTAACAATGAAGTTCAGAAAGGTTTGATAACTTTGATTTGCCTAAGATTTCACACTGAATAGTAAACAGTAAAGTCTAGACTTGAAATAAGGTTTGACTCCAAAGACTGTGTTCATATTTACTATGTTAAATGCCTCTAGTTTAATTTTAAAGACTCTGTTAGGTAATAACCATACATTCTACACCTCAGTGCTTTTGAATATATCATTCTCTGCCCCCTTCACCAAGCCCCACTTTCTTTCTCCCTCTACTTAGAAAACTTTCATCATCTGTTAAAGGTTAATTCAAATGCCATCTTCTCCATGAAACATTCCCTAATTATTCAAATTTCTTCTGATTTTCTCCATTCAATTTACACAGTATAGTGATTAAGAGTGAAGGCTCTGGAGTAAAAATGACTACATCCAAGGCGAGGTGTGGTGGCTCATGCCTATAATCCCAGCACTCTGGGAGACTGAGATGGGCTCATCACTTGAGCCCAGGAGTTTGAGACCAGCATGGCCAAAATGGCAAAGCCCTGTCTCTACTAAAAATACAAAAATTAGCTGGGCGTGGCAGTGTGTGCTCCTGGTCCCAGCTACTGAGGGAGCTAAGGCCAGAGGATCACACGAGCCCAGCAGGTTGATGCTGCAGTGAGCAGTGATTGTGCCACTGCACTCTAGCCTTGGTGACAGAATGAGACCCTGTCTCCAAAAAAAAACCCCACTACATTCAAATCAGCTCCCATCACTTCTGAGTTAAATGCAACCTTCATCAAGTTACCTAACTGCTCTTAGGTAAGCCTTACTTTCCTCATTTTTAAGATAAAGATAACAGCACCTATCAAATATATAACAAGCTTTTTAAAGGATTAGGTAAGATCGTAAAAGTGAAGTTCTTAGAACATTGCTCAGCTCATAATAGCTCATACTATAAAAATTAACTATTATTACTATCATACACCAACCCACAGAAGCAACCCTTGGTATATTTCTTTCATCACAGTTATCCACATATACACTATCTCTCCTTAAGTTCCTTGCAAGCTAAGACCATGCTTTAGCCTTTACTATGCTCCTTACAGCACATCACAGTGTCTCATGCTCAGCAGGTACTCAATACTCACTGAACAAATAAAAGGCAACCCAAATCTAGAAAAAAAAATTAAATACACACACACGTAAATGTTAGTACATACATACATAATATATGCATCCATGCACACATACCTCATGGGAACCTCTGTGATAAGATTATAGCTCACATCTAATACTTCTATCTTCTTTGCTTCACATGCCCAGTCAGGGACACACTCTAGCAGGTTTCTGCAGAAAACAAATAATTACATGGCACCATTTAAAATGACAAATTAACTCACTTCACTAGACTGTAATGTATCTGTTAAGCAGCCTCTGAGCCGTTGAGGACAGGGACACTATCTCCAAGGCATCCCTTGGTACATTACCTGGAATATAGCAGGTGCTCAGTGAATGCTGTTGAATTAGAAGGGAGAGGACAGACAAGTACTTGAAAATATGTAATATTGGATCAATTATGCTACATGTTTGAAGAAGGTAAAAAAGGTTTTCTGCATTAGAAAAGAACACTTATGGTGGGACGGGATGAGGGAAAGATAAGGAATTATAATAACAAACCTTCAAAGATGAGTTAAGACTTCCACAGGTACTGACTGGGTCAGAAGAGAAGCCAATTCCAGGCAAAATGAACAGAATGAATAAAACTGAGACAGTAGAGGCAAAAGATAACTAGTGGGGAAAAAGTTTCAAACCATTTAGAATGTGAGCTCAAATAACTTGTAAAGCACTAGGCAGATATTTAGTAAAGAGATTTTTTTTTTCACATGTGACAGCCTCTCTAGGCATCAAGGTATCTACGGATTTACTGAGAGATATAATGAGGCAGAATGAAGTAGCGCTATGTAAGAGAAACACACATATCGCTATACCTTAGTGAAGGAAACCCTTTACCTAAATGGATCAAAACAAGCTCTCTAAAAAATATGACCTGTGGGTTAGAATGTGAAGGTGTTGTACAGTGACCTGAGGTGAGGAGCACATTCCAAGCACACAGCGGCAACACGAGCTAGAGCACAGAGGCAAGAAAAGAAACACATGGTGTGTGCGGGGGAATAACAAGCAGTTTGGTGATGCTAGAGCACCTGGGAGGAGAGGGCGTGGGCTGGAGATAATAAAGTATAATAAAGTCACGTCCAATAAATTATAGCAGACCAAGGACAGAACCCTGGGGATAATCGACCTTTAAAGGGCTAGCTGAGGAAGAGGAGTATGCAAAAGAGAAATGGCCAAAGTGGCATGACAAAAATCAGACTGCATTAACTAGCCAAGGAAAAAGCATGCTTAGAGACAAGAGGGCAAGATTAACTGTGTCAACACAGAAAACTTCCACTAAGAGAAGCACTAAACTGAGCTGTTAGAGGGATAAGCAGATGGGGACTGAAGACACTAAGCCAAAAAATGCACATAATTCTTGAGAAATTTGGACAAAAGGGGGAAGAGAGTAATTAAGACAATAGCCAAGACAAAAGCCAGCAGGATTGTAAGGTAAAGGGAACTTTCTCTGTTACGACAGAAGAGATTTAAGTGTGTGTACAGACTAAGAAAAAAAGAGGCTGAATGAACACACACATACACACACACAAAACACACACACAAGAGCAGGAGGGAGAAAAAAAAGGAGAGGGGAGGGAGAAGAACAATAATAACGATGAACAGAGCAAGGTCCAGAGCAGTGGGAAGGCAGGGGTCACAGGCACGAACAGCTGGACTGGCTGTAACAGAGGAGATAAGCTGAGAATGAATATGCACCTATATAAATTCAAGCAAGGTGGGTGTTAGGAAGCTGAGGGCAATTGCCCACAATGGTCTCTGTTTTCCCAATCAAGTAGGAAGCTAAGTTCCAGCATGGAAGAGACTGAGAAGGGGGACACAGGAAGGTAGAGCAATCCTGAACAGATGCTGAGGACACTGGAAGGAGCTGGCAAGAGGAAGAACCAATAAGCTCCAGATAAGGTTGGAAATTGTGAGTTTGTTGTAGTGTCCACTTGGATGTGATTTTCTTCGGCAGTGACCAAGCTCAACGGAAAAGGTAAAATTTTAGTACTGATCCATGTTGGGGTTTTGCTGGGAAGACAAGCAGAAAGAAATGGAAGGGAATCTAAAAGATTAGCTTTTAAAATTATGATAAAGTAACAAAATCAACAAAGAGAAACTTGGCTACAATAGCTAGTATATCTTGAGACAACTGCATGTCAGGTACTCTCCTATATATTTTGCATTTATCATCTCACTCAGTCTTTACAACCCTGACCATATAGGACCATGCCCACTGCCCCTTTGATCTGCTTTGGGCACCCTATACTTGCAGCACTTAGGATGCTGCCCTGTCATTACTTGTTTGATTGTTCATCTCGCCATTAGATTGCAAAATTCAACCAGTGAACCCAGAATGCCCAACAGTGGTTAAAAAGGAATGAATAAAAGAAAAACAAA